ATTTTCCTAGTAACCCTCTTAAATAAAGACAGCTATGATGTTTTTACTTATTTTTATTTTTGTTTATTTAGTTATTTATTTTTTGGAGACAGTGTCTTATTCTGTTGCCCAGGCTGGAATGCAGTGAGGCAATCTAGCTTACTGCAGCTTCCACCTCCAGGCTCCAGCAATCTTCCTACCTTAGCCTCCCGAGGAGCTGGGACTACTTGCTCACACCACCATGCCTGGCTAATTTTTTTTAAAGTTTTGTAGAGATGAGGTCTCACTGTATTTCCCAGGGCTGACCTCAAGTTCCTGGGCTCAAATACCCTTTCTGCCTTAGCCTTAATCCCAAAATGTTTGGATAACAGGCATGAGCCACTGCGCCCAGCGAATTATGTTTTTACGGTAGTTAAACTGAAGCCCGGAGAGGTAAAGTATTAATAACTGGCCAGAGGTCACACAGCCTGCATTCGAACCCAAGGCCTGCATTCGAACCCAAGGTACAGCAGGCAGGCCTCTTCTGAAGGGGCTGTAAGGATGGGAAGAACTGTTTTCCCAACAGTTCACCATTAAAAATATAAAACATGCAGAAGACTTGAAAGAACTTTGCAGTAAACACCCACACACCCACCAGTAACCCTCAGTGTTTTTCTCTATTTGTTTTGTTACCTATCTTTACTCATCCATGAATGCACCTTACTTTTTAATGTATTTCATAAAAAGTTGCAGACCACCCCTGAAGGTCAGCATGAGTAACTAGAGTTAACCAGAGTTCAGTATTCAGTTATGATTATCTTTTATTGTTTTGGTGTAAAATTTGCATGTGACAGAAGTAAATGCACATATCTAAGTGTACTGTTTGAACTTCATATAAGTGGATTCGTGCCATGTGGACTTCTTTGCATTTGGCTTCTTTGACTCAGCATAATGCTTCTGAAATTCATTCATGTGGTCATGCGTATGGGTAATTCCTTTTTATTGCTGACTACTGGCCTGTTGTGTGGACATGCCACCATTTGTTTATCTGTTCTACCACTGATGGACCCTGGAACCAGGGAGTACTGAGCTATTAAGAGGAGCGCTGCTGTGATCATTTGTGTGCGAGTCTTTCTGGACGTACTATACTTTCATTTATCTTGGGTATACACGTAGGAGTGGAATTACTGGGGCATAGGCTAGGTATATGTTTAGGTTTATTAAAAAGTGCCATATCTTTGTCTAAAGTGGTTGTACCAATGTGGTACTCCCCAAAAGTGCACTGGCATTCCGATCACTTCCCATCCTCACCGCTATGTGAAGTTGTCAGTCATTTTAATTTTAGCCATTCTAGTGGTTGTACCGTGGTATCGCATTGTGGTTTTAATTTGCATTTCATCTAATGACTAATGACTTTGAGCGTTTTTTCACCTGCTGGTTGTCCGTTTGTATGTCTTCTTCTTTGAAGTATCTGTTCAAATCTCTTGCCCACTTTAAACATTGATTTGCTTGCTCTCTGTTGGATATGTTTTGTAATTCTTTTCCCCCAGCCTAACGGGCAGAAGTCGTAAATTGTGATGCGGTCTGACTTAATCTCTTTTTTCTTTTATGATCATTGCTTTCTGTATCTGGGCTAATATCTTTGCCTACCAGGTGGAAATAATCTTGGGAGAAGAAATAGACCCCGAAGGAGGAGGTGCAAGTAGACAGAACAGCACGGGCACCAGCTCCAGGTGGAGAAGTGCGGGTTCTGTTGGGTGATGGAGAGCAGCCCTTTGTAGGGGGTGTCTGGGGTTGAGGGGCAGAGGCCCAGAAAGGGAATGCCTTCAACATTAGGGGACTGACTGAATTTTTTAGCCAGTGGAATCCATTGAAAGTTTTAGAGCAGGAAGGGATGTGATCACAAGACAGTGAGATGTACAGGCCTGGTGATGCTGGAGCCTGGGGCAGTTTTCACTCGGTCACCCTGAGGGCAACAGCCTCGGGCCTCAAGGTGCAGGTGGGACTGCCGGGCTGGAAACCAGGTTTATCTGTGTGAATTCTTGCAGCCTGTCCTGGGCCCTGAGTCTACCCAGGTCCCACCAGGTCTTCATGGGCCCATTTATTCTTGCGAAGGAAGCCTGAGCGTTGGTCTAGGCGTGTAGCTAGCTGGCAGCCCAGTCTCTCCTTCCAGCCCTGGGGAATGCTTGTATATGTGGATTTAGGGCCACCTCTCCCTGTGGCTCCAGATGCTCATGGGGCCCTCCCCCAGCCCCTCTGCCCTCACCTCCACCCACTCTCACCCTTCTCTCTCTCCTTGCACTTGTTCCGGGAGCAGGAGCTGGAGGCTTGGGAGTCTGCTTTTCCTTCTGCCTGGAAATCTCTTCCCCAGATACCTGCATCCAGGCGTTTCATCCACAGTCACCTTTTTCAGGCGTCTTCCCTGGCTGTGCAGTTCGGAACTATCCCCATCCCTGGACCCTTTCCTCTTCCTCTGTGGTGGTATTACCATCTGACATCCTCTAGTCACACATTTGCCTTGTTTTTTGCCCGCCTCCTCCCCTAGAATATAAATACCATGAAAGGTTTATTTGTTTTTCACCCTTGTTCACTGCTCTAACCTGTGCCTGGAACAGCATCTGACATTGGCAGGTCCTCAGAAACAGTACAGCCCAACTGAGTGAGAGGCCCACTCCCTCATTACTCCCAGAACCTCTCTGTTTGATGGCAGCTTTGGTTCTGCAGGTGAAAAAAAATGGGGATGAGCCCAGGGAACACCTAGGGCCACCCAGCAAATGGGGGAATCTTCCTTCTCCCAGTCTCCATTGTACAGATGAGGAAATAGACCTTGAGAGGGAAAGGACTTGGCCAAGTGCTAAGCGATATTCGTGGCAGAGAAGAAATGGAAGTCGATTGCCCTCACTCCCTGTTATTAAAAGTCCTAATTGGCCTGGGGGAGGCTGGGGGCCAAGCAGGGATGTTTAAGATGATTACAATATCTTTTGGTGCCAGAAGATATCTTTGTGTCTCCAAGTGGGGATGGAGGAACTGCAGCCCAAGTGTTTTCTTTTCTGGGAAATTCAGACCTCCATCATTTTAACTTTTCCCAGACGAGATGCTGGGACCACGCTCAGGGCCTGGGAAGTGGTTACATCCGTATCAGCCAGGCCACCCTGGCCTTGAGCTCCAAATGAGACTGTTCAGCCCCAGTTCCACAGCCATGGACTTCCACAGAGCCATCCTACCCTGGTCCCACCAGCCCCAGGGTTCCTGCCATTTCCCAGGACACTCATGGTTTCCTGGTGACCTGGCTCCTTCTACTGTGTAGACTGCAGGCTGTGGACCAGGAGGGGAAATCCATAGGCAGCCGGGAGCACACATAACATTTGTGAGAGTCAGGGCTCCCCAGAGGATGTGGGAGGGAACTTTATCCCAGGGTGCAGACAACTTAACACTGACCTTCACACCCCCCTCTTCATGACAGGCAGTCCCAGTCAGTTCTCTCAGAAACCCACTGCTCAAAACACACAACGCTGCTGGGCCTGTTTAATCCAGTGCTGCCCAATCCCTCCACCACCCTGGGACCCCTGGTATCCCTCATCCCTGCCCTCAGGCGGTTCCACTTTCCTGTGCCTTTTTACAGGGCTTACCCAGGCCTTATCCACCTGCCCCGAGAGGCTCCTTATAGCACATGCCCTGGATGCTTCTGGAACCAACACCAGCCTTGATCCCTGGCATCCCTGGGCAACATCACAGAGACACAGGGCAAGATGGAAGGCACCACCCACAGCTGAGTGCCCTCCTCTGTATGACGCAGGTTTTCACCCCTGCAGATACCATAAGAAACTTGATGCCTTAGTAGGAGGCAGGAAGACCTTACAGCCCACATGACTCAGGATGTGAGGCTCTGAGATGTTGTTCCTCCTTTTTGGGAATCAGAACCAGCCTGTGTGTGTTGGGACAGGAAAGGCAAACGTGAGGGTCTTGGGGAGGGTCTGGGATCTCTTAAACCAGACAGAACTATGAGCAGTATGCAGTGCCATTTCCCAGCGAACTCCTCAGCTTGATGTTGCTGTTTCCTGGGTGTGTGATCCTTCTCCCCACACCGGGCTGTGTTGACACATCCTGGGGCTCAGACACTGTTGTCTGGAAAAGGGTAAGAGGGAACTTTTTAGAACTGTCCTATACTAGCACCATCGAGTGGAAATCTAATGCAAGCCACATATGTCATTTTAAATGTTGTAGCAGCCATATTAAAACAGGCAAAGTAACCAATAATGTTTTATTTAACCTGACACATTTAAAACATTATCTTGCCAGGCGCGATGGCTCATGCCTATAATCCCAGCACTTTGGGAGGCCAAGGGAGATGGGTCACTTGAGGTCAGGAGGTCAAGATCATTCTGGCCAACATGGTGAAACCCCATCTCTACTAAAAAAATAAAAAATTAGCCGAGTGTGGTGGTGCACACCTGTAATCCCAGCTACTTGGGAGGCTGAAGCAGGAGACTTGCTTGAACCCAGGAGTCTTTAGAATGAAATCCTATGCATATTTTGTGCTTACAGCGCATATCAATTCAGACAAGCCACTTTTAAGAGCTCAATAACCACTTCTGGCTAGTGGCTACGGCAGTGCAGATCTTTCTGTCTTGACCTAGGTGGTAGTTACTCAGGTGTAGACATATGTAAAAATGTGGCTACCTGTAGACTCAAGATGTGCGCATCTCACTGCATGTGTTACTCTTTAAAAGTTTTCAAAAATCTCCTTCAAGGCTCTGCTCAAATGCCACCATTTTCCTGAACCCACCCTGGGATGCAATTACCTGCTGCTTTTGCACTGTGTTTCTGTTATATTTCTACTTGTACTGTCGCTGTGTCTCGCCTGTTTTCCTATAAGCACTCTAAGATGTAGACCATGGTTTGTTGATTTTTTTTTTAATTACCCAAGGGGCACTGACTACCTAATGCCGAATAAGTAAGCATGGCTGAATGGAATCCCTGGGTGTGGTTGACCCTCTCTGGGCTGGCTGCAGGATGGCTGATCATTTGATTCTGTTTTTCAGTCCCATTCCAGTTGTTGGCAAAGGAGAGGAAGAGGATGAGGAAGATGGCATGGGGCTTTGTCTGCCGGCCACCCTGAAGAACTGCCTTCCTCACCGCCGGGGCATCAGCATCCTGGAGAAGCTCATCAAAACATGCCCCGTGTGGCTGCAGCTGAGTCTGGGCCAGGCAGAGGTGGCCAGGATCCTGCACCGGGAGGCGGCCGGGGTGAGTGGGGGCGCCTCCCACTTGGTAGCACACACACCGTGAGGGACTCAGGCGTGCTCCACACCTGCCCTGACTCCCACGTGGAAGCCGCTACCATGCAGACAGCTACCTATGTGTTTCCCTCTCCTACATGTGTCAGTTTTTTGGCCACTATATTTTTCCAGAATGCAGGCATGGGAGGCTGCTGGGGGGCCTGCTTTCTGCTCTGGGGAGCAGGTGTTCATGGCTGGAGAGGAGGGAGTGGGTGGCTTACAGGCTCTCTGGGCATTTGGGCACCTGAGAGGCAGGACTGATGCGGTCAGGAAGACCATGCTGGCCTGCTGTGACTTCGAGAGCTCGGCCAGGCATCCAGCATCTAGAGAGTGTCAATCAGAGCCAGGGTAAAAATGGCTTTGTGCTCCGTGTTTCACATATGCAAATAAGGGCTGCGTGATGGAGTCAAAAGATGATTTAGAGGTCATGGTCTGTGAGTGGAGATGTGGCTTAAATTTTCTAAGCCTGACTTTTGTTGCTTTGAAATAGAGGCATTCACACCGCCTCCAAGGCTCTTGTTCCTATTGCATGGAAAGATAGATGATGGGTGGGTGGATGGATGGATGGATGGATGGATGGATGGACGGACGAACAGACGGACGGACAGATGGACAGACAGATGGATGGATGTATGAACAGACAGACAGACAACAGCTAAGCAGGTGATAGATGATGAAATATGAGTCAGAGCTCATCATATGTTCCTTTCACCGCCCACACACATTTGTTTAATTACCAAAGTGATACACATATGTGTTCATGATTTAACAAAAAGCCAAGCTGGACAGAAGTGTAAAAAGTAAAGATCTTTTCCACCNTCCTACCTTAGCCTCCCGAGGAGCTGGGACTACTTGCTCACACCACCATGCCTGGCTAATTTTTTTTAAAGTTTTGTAGAGATGAGGTCTCACTGTATTTCCCAGGGCTGACCTCAAGTTCCTGGGCTCAAATACCCTTTCTGCCTTAGCCTTAATCCCAAAATGTTTGGATAACAGGCATGAGCCACTGCGCCCAGCGAATTATGTTTTTACGGTAGTTAAACTGAAGCCCGGAGAGGTAAAGTATTAATAACTGGCCAGAGGTCACACAGCCTGCATTCGAACCCAAGGCCTGCATTCGAACCCAAGGTACAGCAGGCAGGCCTCTTCTGAAGGGGCTGTAAGGATGGGAAGAACTGTTTTCCCAACAGTTCACCATTAAAAATATAAAACATGCAGAAGACTTGAAAGAACTTTGCAGTAAACACCCACACACCCACCAGTAACCCTCAGTGTTTTTCTCTATTTGTTTTGTTACCTATCTTTACTCATCCATGAATGCACCTTACTTTTTAATGTATTTCATAAAAAGTTGCAGACCACCCCTGAAGGTCAGCATGAGTAACTAGAGTTAACCAGAGTTCAGTATTCAGTTATGATTATCTTTTATTGTTTTGGTGTAAAATTTGCATGTGACAGAAGTAAATGCACATATCTAAGTGTACTGTTTGAACTTCATATAAGTGGATTCGTGCCATGTGGACTTCTTTGCATTTGGCTTCTTTGACTCAGCATAATGCTTCTGAAATTCATTCATGTGGTCATGCGTATGGGTAATTCCTTTTTATTGCTGACTACTGGCCTGTTGTGTGGACATGCCACCATTTGTTTATCTGTTCTACCACTGATGGACCCTGGAACCAGGGAGTACTGAGCTATTAAGAGGAGCGCTGCTGTGATCATTTGTGTGCGAGTCTTTCTGGACGTACTATACTTTCATTTATCTTGGGTATACACGTAGGAGTGGAATTACTGGGGCATAGGCTAGGTATATGTTTAGGTTTATTAAAAAGTGCCATATCTTTGTCTAAAGTGGTTGTACCAATGTGGTACTCCCCAAAAGTGCACTGGCATTCCGATCACTTCCCATCCTCACCGCTATGTGAAGTTGTCAGTCATTTTAATTTTAGCCATTCTAGTGGTTGTACCGTGGTATCGCATTGTGGTTTTAATTTGCATTTCATCTAATGACTAATGACTTTGAGCGTTTTTTCACCTGCTGGTTGTCCGTTTGTATGTCTTCTTCTTTGAAGTATCTGTTCAAATCTCTTGCCCACTTTAAACATTGATTTGCTTGCTCTCTGTTGGATATGTTTTGTAATTCTTTTCCCCCAGCCTAACGGGCAGAAGTCGTAAATTGTGATGCGGTCTGACTTAATCTCTTTTTTCTTTTATGATCATTGCTTTCTGTATCTGGGCTAATATCTTTGCCTACCAGGTGGAAATAATCTTGGGAGAAGAAATAGACCCCGAAGGAGGAGGTGCAAGTAGACAGAACAGCACGGGCACCAGCTCCAGGTGGAGAAGTGCGGGTTCTGTTGGGTGATGGAGAGCAGCCCTTTGTAGGGGGTGTCTGGGGTTGAGGGGCAGAGGCCCAGAAAGGGAATGCCTTCAACATTAGGGGACTGACTGAATTTTTTAGCCAGTGGAATCCATTGAAAGTTTTAGAGCAGGAAGGGATGTGATCACAAGACAGTGAGATGTACAGGCCTGGTGATGCTGGAGCCTGGGGCAGTTTTCACTCGGTCACCCTGAGGGCAACAGCCTCGGGCCTCAAGGTGCAGGTGGGACTGCCGGGCTGGAAACCAGGTTTATCTGTGTGAATTCTTGCAGCCTGTCCTGGGCCCTGAGTCTACCCAGGTCCCACCAGGTCTTCATGGGCCCATTTATTCTTGCGAAGGAAGCCTGAGCGTTGGTCTAGGCGTGTAGCTAGCTGGCAGCCCAGTCTCTCCTTCCAGCCCTGGGGAATGCTTGTATATGTGGATTTAGGGCCACCTCTCCCTGTGGCTCCAGATGCTCATGGGGCCCTCCCCCAGCCCCTCTGCCCTCACCTCCACCCACTCTCACCCTTCTCTCTCTCCTTGCACTTGTTCCGGGAGCAGGAGCTGGAGGCTTGGGAGTCTGCTTTTCCTTCTGCCTGGAAATCTCTTCCCCAGATACCTGCATCCAGGCGTTTCATCCACAGTCACCTTTTTCAGGCGTCTTCCCTGGCTGTGCAGTTCGGAACTATCCCCATCCCTGGACCCTTTCCTCTTCCTCTGTGGTGGTATTACCATCTGACATCCTCTAGTCACACATTTGCCTTGTTTTTTGCCCGCCTCCTCCCCTAGAATATAAATACCATGAAAGGTTTATTTGTTTTTCACCCTTGTTCACTGCTCTAACCTGTGCCTGGAACAGCATCTGACATTGGCAGGTCCTCAGAAACAGTACAGCCCAACTGAGTGAGAGGCCCACTCCCTCATTACTCCCAGAACCTCTCTGTTTGATGGCAGCTTTGGTTCTGCAGGTGAAAAAAAATGGGGATGAGCCCAGGGAACACCTAGGGCCACCCAGCAAATGGGGGAATCTTCCTTCTCCCAGTCTCCATTGTACAGATGAGGAAATAGACCTTGAGAGGGAAAGGACTTGGCCAAGTGCTAAGCGATATTCGTGGCAGAGAAGAAATGGAAGTCGATTGCCCTCACTCCCTGTTATTAAAAGTCCTAATTGGCCTGGGGGAGGCTGGGGGCCAAGCAGGGATGTTTAAGATGATTACAATATCTTTTGGTGCCAGAAGATATCTTTGTGTCTCCAAGTGGGGATGGAGGAACTGCAGCCCAAGTGTTTTCTTTTCTGGGAAATTCAGACCTCCATCATTTTAACTTTTCCCAGACGAGATGCTGGGACCACGCTCAGGGCCTGGGAAGTGGTTACATCCGTATCAGCCAGGCCACCCTGGCCTTGAGCTCCAAATGAGACTGTTCAGCCCCAGTTCCACAGCCATGGACTTCCACAGAGCCATCCTACCCTGGTCCCACCAGCCCCAGGGTTCCTGCCATTTCCCAGGACACTCATGGTTTCCTGGTGACCTGGCTCCTTCTACTGTGTAGACTGCAGGCTGTGGACCAGGAGGGGAAATCCATAGGCAGCCGGGAGCACACATAACATTTGTGAGAGTCAGGGCTCCCCAGAGGATGTGGGAGGGAACTTTATCCCAGGGTGCAGACAACTTAACACTGACCTTCACACCCCCCTCTTCATGACAGGCAGTCCCAGTCAGTTCTCTCAGAAACCCACTGCTCAAAACACACAACGCTGCTGGGCCTGTTTAATCCAGTGCTGCCCAATCCCTCCACCACCCTGGGACCCCTGGTATCCCTCATCCCTGCCCTCAGGCGGTTCCACTTTCCTGTGCCTTTTTACAGGGCTTACCCAGGCCTTATCCACCTGCCCCGAGAGGCTCCTTATAGCACATGCCCTGGATGCTTCTGGAACCAACACCAGCCTTGATCCCTGGCATCCCTGGGCAACATCACAGAGACACAGGGCAAGATGGAAGGCACCACCCACAGCTGAGTGCCCTCCTCTGTATGACGCAGGTTTTCACCCCTGCAGATACCATAAGAAACTTGATGCCTTAGTAGGAGGCAGGAAGACCTTACAGCCCACATGACTCAGGATGTGAGGCTCTGAGATGTTGTTCCTCCTTTTTGGGAATCAGAACCAGCCTGTGTGTGTTGGGACAGGAAAGGCAAACGTGAGGGTCTTGGGGAGGGTCTGGGATCTCTTAAACCAGACAGAACTATGAGCAGTATGCAGTGCCATTTCCCAGCGAACTCCTCAGCTTGATGTTGCTGTTTCCTGGGTGTGTGATCCTTCTCCCCACACCGGGCTGTGTTGACACATCCTGGGGCTCAGACACTGTTGTCTGGAAAAGGGTAAGAGGGAACTTTTTAGAACTGTCCTATACTAGCACCATCGAGTGGAAATCTAATGCAAGCCACATATGTCATTTTAAATGTTGTAGCAGCCATATTAAAACAGGCAAAGTAACCAATAATGTTTTATTTAACCTGACACATTTAAAACATTATCTTGCCAGGCGCGATGGCTCATGCCTATAATCCCAGCACTTTGGGAGGCCAAGGGAGATGGGTCACTTGAGGTCAGGAGGTCAAGATCATTCTGGCCAACATGGTGAAACCCCATCTCTACTAAAAAAATAAAAAATTAGCCGAGTGTGGTGGTGCACACCTGTAATCCCAGCTACTTGGGAGGCTGAAGCAGGAGACTTGCTTGAACCCAGGAGTCTTTAGAATGAAATCCTATGCATATTTTGTGCTTACAGCGCATATCAATTCAGACAAGCCACTTTTAAGAGCTCAATAACCACTTCTGGCTAGTGGCTACGGCAGTGCAGATCTTTCTGTCTTGACCTAGGTGGTAGTTACTCAGGTGTAGACATATGTAAAAATGTGGCTACCTGTAGACTCAAGATGTGCGCATCTCACTGCATGTGTTACTCTTTAAAAGTTTTCAAAAATCTCCTTCAAGGCTCTGCTCAAATGCCACCATTTTCCTGAACCCACCCTGGGATGCAATTACCTGCTGCTTTTGCACTGTGTTTCTGTTATATTTCTACTTGTACTGTCGCTGTGTCTCGCCTGTTTTCCTATAAGCACTCTAAGATGTAGACCATGGTTTGTTGATTTTTTTTTTAATTACCCAAGGGGCACTGACTACCTAATGCCGAATAAGTAAGCATGGCTGAATGGAATCCCTGGGTGTGGTTGACCCTCTCTGGGCTGGCTGCAGGATGGCTGATCATTTGATTCTGTTTTTCAGTCCCATTCCAGTTGTTGGCAAAGGAGAGGAAGAGGATGAGGAAGATGGCATGGGGCTTTGTCTGCCGGCCACCCTGAAGAACTGCCTTCCTCACCGCCGGGGCATCAGCATCCTGGAGAAGCTCATCAAAACATGCCCCGTGTGGCTGCAGCTGAGTCTGGGCCAGGCAGAGGTGGCCAGGATCCTGCACCGGGAGGCGGCCGGGGTGAGTGGGGGCGCCTCCCACTTGGTAGCACACACACCGTGAGGGACTCAGGCGTGCTCCACACCTGCCCTGACTCCCACGTGGAAGCCGCTACCATGCAGACAGCTACCTATGTGTTTCCCTCTCCTACATGTGTCAGTTTTTTGGCCACTATATTTTTCCAGAATGCAGGCATGGGAGGCTGCTGGGGGGCCTGCTTTCTGCTCTGGGGAGCAGGTGTTCATGGCTGGAGAGGAGGGAGTGGGTGGCTTACAGGCTCTCTGGGCATTTGGGCACCTGAGAGGCAGGACTGATGCGGTCAGGAAGACCATGCTGGCCTGCTGTGACTTCGAGAGCTCGGCCAGGCATCCAGCATCTAGAGAGTGTCAATCAGAGCCAGGGTAAAAATGGCTTTGTGCTCCGTGTTTCACATATGCAAATAAGGGCTGCGTGATGGAGTCAAAAGATGATTTAGAGGTCATGGTCTGTGAGTGGAGATGTGGCTTAAATTTTCTAAGCCTGACTTTTGTTGCTTTGAAATAGAGGCATTCACACCGCCTCCAAGGCTCTTGTTCCTATTGCATGGAAAGATAGATGATGGGTGGGTGGATGGATGGATGGATGGATGGATGGATGGACGGACGAACAGACGGACGGACAGATGGACAGACAGATGGATGGATGTATGAACAGACAGACAGACAACAGCTAAGCAGGTGATAGATGATGAAATATGAGTCAGAGCTCATCATATGTTCCTTTTAAAAACAACTTGAATTTGTTTAATTACCAAAGTGATACACATATGTGTTCATGATTTAACAAAAAGCCAAGCTGGACAGAAGTGTAAAAAGTAAAGATCTTTTCCACCTACTCTAACCAAACTCAATCCCCAGAAGTTTTTTCTTTTTTTAATTGAGATGAAATTCACACAATATAAAATCACACAATATAAAAGTACACAGTTCAGTGGCATATAGTACAGTCACAATGTGGTACAACCACCACCTCTATCTAGTTCCAAGGCGTCTCATCGCTCAAAATAAAACCCCACACTCCTTAAGCAGTCCCTCCTCCTCCTCCCCTCCTGCAGCCCTGTAACCACCAATCTGCCTCCAAAGTCACCCAATCTGCCTCGCAAGTCATGCTGCATGCGGTGCGTCTGTCCACACATTTTCCATATAGACTCATGCCTCTATTGTGGCAAGCATTCACTGAGTACTTGCTTTGCTCCAGGAAGTCTTGTAGCTTCTTCATGTGAATCTGCCCATGTAACCTCATAGCAGCCCTAGGAGGTAGGCAGTGCCACTCTGCCCATTTTACATATGAGGTAACCGTGATACAAAGCAATTGAGTGCCGTCCCCCAGGGGACATAGTGAATAAATGGCAAAGCGGGACTCCATCTGGACCCAGGCAGTCTGTGCGCCCTGGGCTCTGTTGAGCACAGAGATTTATTTGGCTCAGCTGGACTCGTGTCCCCCAGCCACCATGCACTTTTGATGGTCTCTCCCCTGCTGTGGTTGCAGGGCTTGTCTGCCTCCCGGGAAGAGTCCAGATGTATAAGTACAGGGCTCAGATGGCAAGTGCACTCGTTCACCTTGGACAAGGTAAAATGCATCAAGTCTCCAGTTGTACCTGAAAATTGGAATTAGTAGAACTTATGGGGCCTCTGCAAAGTCCCAACCTCCTTTTGCTACACAGGCCCCTGTCACAGGGAGTGGGGACTATGGTGGCCTGAAAGCACAGCAGTGTCCCGCCAAAACCAGGAGGACCGCTGGCCTGGAAAGGCCTGGGTAGAAAATTAAACCAGGGTCTCCTGCCAATGAGTGTTCAACCGGCACCCCCTCTGGTCCCCAACTTCCCTGGTGGGTTCTCAGGAATGAGCTTACTTACCACTCTTGCTGGGAGAAGGCAACTCAAGATCAGCCCAAGGGGCAAGTTTCTGATGCTGAGGGATGGCAATGTTCCAGATTTTTTTGGTCATCAAGAGGGGCATGTCCAGATGGGGATTGGCCAGATAGTGGGGGATGGTCCCAGGAGAGGGTGCTGGCTCTCCAGAGCAAGCTGGGTGGGACATCGTCATGACTGCTATATCAAAAGATTCAGTCCTCTCTTCAGAAAGTTAGCCTGGGCGCGGTGGCTCATGCCTGTAAATTCAGCACTTTGGGAGACCACAGTTAGAGGATCCCTTGAGCCCAGGAGTTCAAGACCAGCCTGGGCAACATGGCGCGATGCCATCTCTACAAAATATACAAAAATTAGCCAGGCATGGTGGCACACACCTGTAATCCCAGCTACTCAGGAGACTGAGGTAGGAGAATCACTTGAACTGGGGAGGCGGAGGTTGCAGTCAGTCCAGATCACGCCACTGCACTCCAGCCCAATT